TATAATCAGTTTCTTGATTTGATGAAGAAGAATTTAAATATCTTTGAATGTCTTAGAACTTTCGCAAGCGTAGGTTCAACGTTTTCTTAAACACTAAAAAATATTCATTTCATTTTCTCATAAATAGGCTGCGCCGATAATACACATGTTGCCAATGTGCAAGTAAGGTCATCCCCGTAATGGGGAATGGACCTGTAGAAAACCTTCTCTGGTTCTGCAGAGTCGAGTTTTTAGCAAATAAAATGTATAAAAATGCACGAATATTTACTTGTGGCGTTTGGCGCAAATTATTGATAGTGACCCGCCTTTTATAATTCTTAGACAGGTGTACTGTTGCAAAAGTATACACACAAGTATATTTAGAGCAGGACTCCCAAAAGCTTTATGGTTTGCGTGTTGGGGATAAAACAGAAAAAAGGCGACATGGGTTCAATCCTCTTTGCGACCAAAATTTGAATCACTTTTCAGCTCAATTATACGAGATTTTTTTTTCCTAAATCGGACGGAAGACCTCTCGTTGCTAGCAACGAGATCGTTTCTAGTTATTATTATTATTCTTTTTTTCTTACCGATTTTGTGCACGCGATTTCTCGGAAACGGCTCGATGGATTTCCATGAAACTTTCAGGACTTATGTTACATTACTTGAACCTTATGCATTTTTTTCCGATTTGATGACGTCACTTCCGGTTCGGAGATATTGTCGATTTTATGATTTTTGAAGGGTCAGATTGTCCTCGAACGTTCTAAAAAATGGCTATAGATAGAATAGTGAAAATTTCAGGTATGATAGTCCAAAGTCTATAGATATGTAAAATCTATTTCATTTTTATCTGAAGTGCCGCACGTCGGCGCTCGGTATGGCGCAAAAATAGTCCTATCACGAATATCAAAAATTTTACCACCTTTTCTACGATATCTTTTTACCTGGAAATATTTTGTTAAAACATGTAGAACAAAAGAAGTGTAGAATTTCAAGTTCTTTCAAATGATATCTCGAAAAAGGGCTGGCCCCTAAAATTAAGGGACTAGAGGGGTCGAAAGTGTTTTCTTTATATCTCAAAACGTATTGAGAATTTGTAATACGTCAAAGAAGCAAAATTGTTCAAAATGTCAAGCTCAATCTAACGGAGCCATTAAAAAACGTCCGTTGTTGTCACTTCCGGCCAAACCGGAAGTAGTCGAAAAACGCGTATTTTTGCCGTTCTTAACCCGTTTTTGGGTAACATATGTCTCAGAGAGCATAAAAATTAATTTTCCGTCCGTCGTCGTCACTTCCAGTCAAACCGGAAGTAGCAAAAAATGGCTTATTTTAGCATAACTTAACATAAATTAAGGTGATTTATACATTTTTGGGCGTTTTTATTCATTTTTGTAAAAATGAAAGTTACTTCCGGTTACTTCCGGTCAAACAGGACGGAAGACCTACTCGTTGCTTTGCAACGAGCTTTGCTCTAGTTATTCTTTTTTTTCTTACCGATTTTGTGCACGCGATTTCTCAAAGACGGCTCGATGGATTTCCATGAAACTTTCAGGACTTATGTTACATTACTTGAACCTTATGCATTTTTTTCCGATTTGATGACGTCACTTCCGGTTTGCAGATATTGTCGATTTTATGATTTTTGAAGGGTCAGGTTGTCCGCAGACTTTCTCAATAATGGCTCAATATAGAAACATGAAACTTTCAGGTATGATAGACCAAAGTCTGCAGATATGTATAACGTATTTCATTTTTATCGGAAGTGCCGCACGTCGGCGCTCGCTATGGCCCGAAAATAGACGTATCACGAATTTCAAAATTTTTAACACTTTTTCGAAGATATCTTTTTACCTAGAACTATTTTGTTAAGACATATAGAATAAAAGAAGTGTGGAATTCCAAGATCTTTCAAATGATTCCTCGAAAAAAGGGCTCGCCCCTAAAATTAGGGGCCTAGAGGGGCCGAGACTTTTTTCTTTATATATCAAAATCTATATAGAATTTGTAATACGTCAAAGAAGCAAAGTTGTTCAAAAGGTCAAGCTTAATCTATTGGCGTCGTCAAAATTCGTCCGGCGACGTCACTTCCGGCCAAACCGGAAGTAGTCGGAAAATGCGTATTTTTGCCGTTCTTGACAAGTTTTGGGGTAACAAATGTCTCTAGGAGCATAAAAATTAATTTTCCGTTCGTCGTCGTCACTTCCAGTCAGACCGGAAGTAGCGAAAATGGCTTATTTTTGCATTAATTAACATAGCTTTAGATGATTCAAGCTATTTTTGGGCGTTATTTGGAATTTTTGTTAAAAATAAACTCTACTTCCGGTCGAACTGGACGGAAGACCTACTCGTTGCTTTGCAACAAGCTTTGCTCTAGTAATTTTTCTTCTTCCTGGGTACTTTTTTGTCCGGAAGTGATCTTGTAAACTACACATCCGACTTAGGTAAAACCTTTTTGGGGTCAGTAGGCATGTTATGTAGATTTGCGGAACGAAGGTCATTTTGCGCGCACGTGCTTGCAAGAGCCTGCACGTGCAACACGTGAAATGACCGATTTAATTGATATAGGCGTAACTTTTCACATTTTTGATGAAATGCTTTGATACTCATAATATAAGGATATATTAGAAGCATAGACAATATGACATGGTCAAAATAGCAAGATCTCATGCGCATGCACGTGCTGATTGGCTGAAACTAAAGTCTTAATATCTTTCTTGTTTTTTGACGAAATCCTTTGAAATTTTGAACATAGCCATACATTTTAATATCCTACATCATGATATATAGCAATTATTATGAAAACATGTGCATGCACGTGCGCTGCAATCTGATTGGCTGAAACTTTAAATAGCTATAACTCCCTTGATTTTCAACCAAACAGGATGGGATTTGGAACATAGATATATAAAATGGTCTTTTAAAAAAAGGTATGGTCACCATGCACATGCATACACGTTCGTGTACGTGAGCTGCAATCTGATCGGCTGAAACTTTAAAAAGCTATAACTCCCTTGGTTTTCAACCAAACAGGATGGGATTTGGAACATAGATATATTAAATGGACTTCTACAATAAGGTATGGTCACCATGCACATGCATGCACGTGCGTGTACGTGAGCTGCAATCTGATTGGCTGAAACTTTAAACAGTTATAATTTCCTTGGTTTTCAACCAAACAGGAAGGGATTTGGAACATAGATATATATAATGGACATCTACAAGAAGGTATGGTCTCCATGCATATGTATACATGTGCGTGTACGTACGCTGCAATCCGATTGGCTGAAACTTTAAACAGTTTTAACTCCCTTGGTTTTCAACCAAACGGGATGGGATTTAGAACATAGATAGATTTAATGGACTTCTACATAAAGGAATGGTCACCATGCTCATGTATGCACGTGCGTGCACGTGAAATGGGTAAAATAAAAAATACACTTGAATGAGCGAATTTTTTAATACTTTTGGATTAAATACTTTAATATTTAGTATATTAAAATATAAAGATTGTGTAGACAAGATGATATGGTCATTACGTATATGCCTTCACATGTGCACACATGCAATGCTAAAATTTGAATGAGCATGGTACATTTCTGGGTAAACATTGTTAAAATTTCAAATGCATAGAGTTTGTGTTAATAAATAAAGCTTACAGGGAATATGGCACCAAAAGGGAGTTGGGGAGCATTTAGGGAACATCTGTAACGGTCCCCGTTACAATTAGCACTAGTTTATATTTCATTAATATCTTACATGTCTTCCTTTCCTGCATTAGACGAAGTATTAGGTTATCATTCTCGCTACCGAGTCCTGTATAACATTTGTCCGTCTACACCGGCGTCGACTCATAACATTGAATAGTGACGAAATCCTGCCTTTTTTATAGGGGTCTGCACTCTGCAGAGTAGCTAGACTCGGGGACAAAAATGGCGGAAATATTCCTTTTAGGAATCGTGTTCACCTTTTATGTCCAGGAAAAAGGTAATGACCTTAATATTGAACGGTCAAATTAAATCTCACTGATACTTAGTGATATTATCCTCTTGATTCTGTGAAGATTTCACTATTTAAAAAACCCCAAAACAAACAAGAAATGTGAGAAGAATCCTACCTTGATATAGAAGTAAACATAAAAAGTTGGCACAAATTTTCATTTATTTTATTGTAGTCGCAGGTGTTAAAAAATTAGACTGATGACGTCATAAATTTTTAACATATACGACCAGAGAAATTGAATCTTAGTGCCCTTTTTATGCCCCTGGATCGAAAGATCGGGGGTATATTGTTTTTGTCCTGTCTGTCTGTCTGTTTGGTTGTTTGTTTGTCCCACAACTTTACCCTAGCTCATAACTATTGAGTGGTTGGGGCTATGGGTTTCATGATTCATAGGTGTGTTACTTGTGACATGACCTTTCTTTGAGTACCTCCAAATTTGACCTCTTGACCTTGGCCTTGGAGTTTGACCTACTTTTATTCTATTTGTTATCAACGTTAACCTTCGCCATAACTTTTGAACAGATCGAGATAGAGACTTCTTATTTAAAATGCATACTCCACAAATTATAAATTGACCTTGTCTGTGACCTATATGCTAAGAATAGCTTTTTCGAACTTTGTTGCCGCCGGGGCCACACTGTTTCAGAAACATATCTTGTTTTAAAATGACATGAAACATAATTAATTTTTGTGATTCAAATAAGTGAAATCCCTTATTCAGTTGTTCTGATCTCTTTTTTTATTTCTTGTTTGAATGAAGATAATTAGTTATTTGCCAATCCTTTTCTATTAAATTGTCCATCTGTGTCATTCTTGACAAAACACAAGTGTTAAAAACTACCCCATATTACTCAATCAAAATACTTGCAAGTAATTAAATAAACATGTGTTTTATAAAAGATTGGAAGTGCTACTAAGAACGACTCAACATACATGTTCTCGTTTTTTTATAATGAATACATAGGTATAGTTATATATTCTATTGTAAATATAATGTATATATAATATTGCTTCTGCAGGAAAAAGATGGATTTTATGGACAGCTCTTGGATTTGTTACCAACAGATTCCAATCTTAAGAAACATTTAAAATATGAGAGGTGTTTTTTTGTCAGCTTTCCTCGTGACAAAGGTGAAGATTTGGAAGTTTTATCTGAATTAGAAAACTCTATTGCCTCTATTGCCAAAGACAGGAAATGGAAAGAAGATATTCCAAAAGAATGGTCTATTATTGAACTGGCTCTACTCACGATGAGAGTTTCAGAAAAGACGGTTCATATCGAAGATCTCAAAGAGAAATACTGGAAGGCTAAGGAAGATGAAAGTCTAAAAATGGAGGATGCACTATGTTTTTTCCACGACATTGGATTGATTCTTCACTTTGAGGAGGAGAACCTTTCAAATACAATAATTGTTGACATCCAATGGTTCGTTGATACCTTCAAATTCATAATATCAGACAAAAATCATGTCCGAGACTTAGCAGAAACTGACAGAGACTGGCAGTACTTCCACAGAACAGGGTATCTCTTTGACAGATTTCTAGATCGAATGTGGAAAAAGTTATTTCACAAGTCGGAAAAAAAGAACATTTTGCAATACATGCAAAGACTAGGATTACTGGCGATAGGGGGAGAAAAACACTATGTACCATGCATGAACAAAAGAGATTTTGGTAGGAAGGAAAGGATTGCATTACGGGGAATGGAAACAAAATCTTCTGTTTTAGTGCTTCATTTCCAATTTTTACCGTTCTTCTACTACTGTCGATTGATAGTTGCCTGCATTGTGGGAACTGAGTGGAAGGTGGTAGAAGATGAAGGTATACCAGGCTTGTATAAAAACGTCGCAATTTTTGTATACAAGGACCACCTTCTTGCCTTGGTTGTGACGCAAACTTCAATTCAAGTCCAGATCTTGAGGCCACAAAACTCACCTATTGATCCCAATATCGCTGTAAATATTAGGGAGACTCTTGAAAATAGACTTGAATACTTAACGAGTACTTTTCACAAAAGAATTGCATATAAAGTTGCATTTCAGTGTTCAGATCAAAATGTACTTTGTGACAATGTAGGTTGCTACGTATATGATGAAGAAATATTCAGGAAAGGTCAAATACCATGCCCAAGACATGGACTTACAGGATATCATATGATAAACGAAGACACCCTGACAAAATATTGGAAACAAGTGAGTATACATTTAATGCTGTTGAAATGTTATTGATTATAATATCATTTTTCAGTTTTTATTTTCTTCTTAAAAAGATCTACCTGGGCACTTGAGATCCACATGTTATATATGATTATAAATTAATAGTAAATACAGCGATTCTGCACTGTACAATACAATTTAAGTAACAATATTAATGCGCCATATTGAGGAATGGTCCGAAAATCCATATTATGTTTCGGACAGGCTTGCAAAAATCCATGTCAAACATGCTTTATTAAGTTTAAAGATTAATTTCTTTCACACTCAAATATTCTTCCGAATATTTAATGTATATTTTCTGAAAACAAAAATGAGAAATGATATTGTACATCAACAATTATTTACCATTTTATCATTTATCTTATATTTGAAAAACATTAGAAACTACCTGTAGTGATTGATCCGTTCACCTGCATAATTAGGTCGACAATCTACATTTCTGTTACATTTATTAGTGCTCTTATGTCTGTCAGAAAATACAAATAGAATTAAAGAATCATTTTAATCAGATATATTTTGAATATTTCAATTAATCCTCTTGAATCTCAAATATACCAAATTATAATTTTCTGGAAAAAAGTAAGCCTTAACAGTCACGATTATTATGTTCCCCAAACGAAGTTGGGGAACATATTGTTTTTACTCTGTTTCTTATTATTATGTTCCCCAAACGGAGTTTGGGAACATATTGTTTTTACCCCTTCTCTTATTATTAAGGTCTTCCGTCTTCAGCGGAAGACCTTCTTGTTATTCTTAGGTTTCTTTTCCACTATTTTTAAGGTCTTCCGTCTTCAGCGGAAGACCTTCTTGTTATTCTTAGGTTTCTTTTCCACTATTTTTATTAAGGTCTTCCGTCTTCAGCGGAAGACCTTATTGTTTTTTTAGGTTTCTTTTCCACTATTTTTATTATTGTTTTTTTTTTCTTACCGATTTTGTGCGCGCGATTTCTAAAAAAACGGCTCAATCAATTTTCATGAAACTTTCAGGTCTGATAGAACATCAAAAAATCTAGATA